ATAAATGATCGGTTTACTACACGTATGTATATTATATAGTCACTTACTAGCGAAAAGTTGTTCCATTATTTCACTCGATTTTTGCTGAGATCTACCGCACGCTACACAACCAACTATTTTAGAGTCTTTTTCGATAAATCGCGATAGTGTCACTGTTAATTTAAGTTCTGCCACAATTTCCATCTAGATTTACTACCTTTATACAACTATCAGTAGTATAATAAATAATAAATAACATAAAATAAGCTCCGTAAAGACTGACAAATCCACAAAATTTCAAATCAAATTTAAATGTGTCAAATGAATCGTCAAACAGAACTGTCAAGGATCCCCACCCTAGAGTGTTTTTTCCGCCCATCATGCATGAATACATGGATAGCATTATGCTCCTTCCTTAGTCTTCTTATTCAAAGGCCATGAATGTAATATAACCTTCTAAACTCGAGAAGTCATATCATCTGTTCAGAATTGATTCATGTCTCAGTTCACTATAATGCCGGGTCCAGACCTAAGAAACAATGGGAATGCAGATTTTGTGAGGAAAATAGGGAAACACCTAAACACCTCTTCACTGAGTGCGCAGAGATCAAATCGTGCCATAAATTTTGGTACAACTGAGATCGGAGATGGAAAACTAACCTCTGTAAAACCGTCTCAGATACTGGCTTTTGTCAAAGTCCTGGAAGTGTATGACTTTTGTCAAAGTCCTGGAGTTGTATTTCAAGAAAGTGGGTCACAATATGTAAATTGTAAGGTCGCCGGTTTGTAAAGGATCCCATTGATTTTTTATTCTACATTCTACATGGCTATCGCTTCTTTGATTTTAATAAAAATAACATAAATAAAAAACATTTATAAAAATCATCATATTATTATACTGAACATTTAAAGCTTTGCATAGTAAATATGTAAAGGAGTGTTTTATAATTAGGCAATTTTGCCCACGAGTAAAAAGCACTGACAAGTTGGTTTCCTTTTGGACTCTACGCAGTGGCATTTTAGAACAGATACATTTTTCATATTTTAAATTAAAAATTTAAAAATTAAGTTTTTTGAGTAGAAGTTCAAGCTGGGAGTAAAAATTCAAGGTCGTGACACACGAGCTAGTGAAACGATAAATTGGAAAGGATCGCACGATCGCGCACCAACCAAAAGACATTTGATGTAAAGCTAAGAAAATCATTATAATTAACTTGATACTGTACAGGGTGGGTCAAATTCGACGCTTTTAAATGGAAACACCCTTTTCTATAGGAGATAGACGAAAACTAATATCGGTGTCTGTAGCTCAATTTTTGTCAAAAATATGAAGGTGAAAACCGCATATCGATATCTGTTACCGTTTCGGAGTTACGGGGTGTTTTTCAAAAATATGCATTTTTAACAAATCGCTGTAACTTTTTTGCTATGGAAAATTTTGTATTTTTATGAAAACATTTCCAAAGCACCGTTTTAAGTAGAATTTAATGGTTTAAGTATATTTTTTTTTAAATTAATAATTTAAGATTTATCAACAGAAAATTTGATTGTTTATATGGGACACCCTGTATATTTTTAATTTATTGAAAATAATTTAAAATTACCTTTCCAAAAATATAACACACTTGATATTTTGCTCGATTCCTCTTCGAGATATAGAGTATGTAAAAATTCGCCCACTTTAAATAAGTAGGCTTTGAACGGCACCGGCTGTAATGCAAAAAAATTTTAGCTGTGAGCATCAATTAAAACGAAAATAATATTTGGGTGAAAGATACCCTCCCATAACTGCTAAGTATTTCTAATTCTTGTCTAGATTATACGGAAGAATAAGGAACCTTTAATCTTCCGCAAATATATACATAGGATTAAATCCATGGGCACTAAGTCAGGCGGCCTCGACGGCCAACGGCTGGAATCTTGGTTAGCTATTCAATTATTCTTGAAATTGGCTGCAAAAATTTGCTGATAACTTCAGCGTTCAGAGGCGGTGCGTCGTCTTGCTGGAAAAATACGTTTTTCGGGTTCCATTAAGGGCATTTCATCAATAAGGGGTCCAAAGCCTACTAGTTAAAAGTGGCGAACTTAAAAAAGTGTCCGAGTGTCCCAAATAAAAAATCTATTTTTCTGTTGATAACTCTTAAATTATTAATTTAAAAAAAATTATACTTAAACCATTAAATTCTACGTAAAAAGGTGCTTTGGAAATGTTTTCACAGAAATACAAAATTTTCCATAGCAAAAAAGTTACAGCGATTTGTTAAAAATGCACATTTTTGAAAAACACCCCGTAACTCCGAAACGGTAACAGATATTGATGTGCGGTTTTCACCATCATGTTTTTGATGAAAATTGAGCTCCAGACACCGATATTAGTTTTCGTCTATCTCCTATAGAAAAGGGTGTTTACATTTAAAAGCGTCGAATTTGACCAACCCTGTACATGTGCACCAATATCCTCTGGTTGTGTACTAGGAAGTAAATTTTCATGCATATTTTCATCGACAGGTTTGTAGCTTCTGAATAACCGTCTAGGTAAAACATCTAGCTCAAAATTAGAATTATTAGAGTTAAGCAACTCGCATTTTCACTGGAGGACATTATCATATGTATTTCAAACCAATAATCAAGGCTAATATCTTATATAATTATAAAAAAAAGTTACTGTAACCCACTATAAATTATAAATACGAATTGTTGGTTAGGTTCAAAATGTTTTCTTTTCTCAAATAAATTTAAACGTTAACATTATTAGGCATTTACACAAAAGTGTGTATTTTGGGTCGTATTCCACAAAATTTGCAGGCTATTGAGGAGACAGAAAACGTCCAGTTTACAGAAATAAATTTAAATTCATATTTATATTAAAACAGCATTAAATGTCATAAGAAAATCAAAAAAATACTGTCTTCCCTTTTCACTTTCCATAGATACTATACATTTAGATCAAAATCTCTTGTATTACTTTAGGTTTAACATTTCATATAGACACTGCATGACTCTCCCTGACATACACTAGCCTCCACTGACACACATACCCAACATACGGTCATCATCCGACACCGAACGAACCAAACCAACACAGAAAGAAACCTGGGGAAAAAAGAGGACCGTCCAACACAAAGCACCGCCTCCGTCCTGCGAGCGCGACGAAGACCGACAACGCCAGCCAGAGCGAGACGGCCGAACGCACACTTCGCCATGTGTCGTTCCTGCGGCGCATGCCCCCCTTTCCCCCTCCCGACGAGGCGGGGAGGTGACGTGAGGTCCGTTACCATGACGACGACGTTTGGCGGTTCCCCACCTCGCGCGCCGGCTAGCCAGCAGCAGCGTTGCGACTCCCCCCTTTTGGAGACTGAGGCGGCGGCGGTGGGAGTGGGGGGACTGACGCGAGGCGATGCGTCAGTCGCAGGAAGGCAGGATCTAGCGGAGGAAGGTTGGAACTACGTTGTTCTAAGGTTTTCGGCGGGTATTTTGGGGGTTTTGGTGGTGTTTTTCGCGGTATTTTTGTTTTGTTTGGTAAATATAACATAAATTGTGTTTCTATTATAAAATTATTAGGTAATTACTGGGAAAACTGGAAATCGTCAGATTTTCACCAAAATTGGTATACACGCTATTTTGAGGTCGTAGATTACGAATCTGAACTTTTTTTCTTGGCGGTCTATTACCGTTTTTCGGAAAAACGGAAAACTATTTCAACATCGAATTTTTCTTAATTTCTCATATTTTTAAGGTTTTCTAGCATATATTTTGTTAGGTATTCAATAAACAATGATGTTATTGCTATTTTCTGTTACTTTTTTAACCAATTCTATGCATAATAGAGGAAAATTTGCTAAAATAAATGTGTAAACAATCTGAAAATGTTGGGTTATGTGTTTCTGGCATTTAAAGCAATGTTGCCAATGCTAAACCTAAATTTAGCGTGCTTTTTTCGGTCATTCTGGGATTACCAAAGGCGGTCCCCAGAAGAACGGCTCCTTCCCATAATTGCTATTTTACCAACGAGATCTTAATATTTATAAACATGAAGTTGCACGAAAGAGTTTTGATTGCATTGGTTACAACTTCCATGCGGAGGGTGTTAATCTTTTGTTGTTATATTATATCAAAAAAGATTAACCCCCTCCGCAAAGAAACCAATGCAATCAAAACTCTTCCGCGTAACTTTATGGATATAGGTAGGTATATTTAATTATTGTCGATCTCATAATACGTAATTTATTTAAAATCCATAATCACCCGAAAAACTAGAAGATATGGCAACGTTGTAAATTTTCAAATTTCTAGATTAGGTCTAGAATATATTTGTCGCTCATTACATAAGAGAGAGAAAGAAGGATATATGAAATGTCAAACTTCCATCTGGTCTCAATAATTTTCTTCGTTATTTTGTTAAGAAAAGTGTTTTTCAGTAAAATTTTGGACATTTCCCCAATCAAGTGTAGCTTTTAGATAAACAATAATATAATGAAAATAGAGTGTAATGATTACTTTATAGAGCCGAAATAAAGAAAAATTCAATGTTGAAATAATTTTTCGTTTTTTTCGGCAGTTTTTTTCGTTCAAAAATTTTAAATATTTTTTTTCTCACAAACGGTCAATGTTCGATATAGAGTGTTTAATATCAAAATTCATAAAATTTTACAGAAAATTTAAGTATGCAATAAAAAATGGGGGCACCCATTTAAAATAAGAAAGTTGCTGTCAACTTCCGGTACTTCCGGAAGTGTCGCCATATTGAAAATATTTTTAATCGATAGATCTCGTTGTGAAACTACGATGTGCAAAAAATCTTCGTGCTAGATGATATGGTTCTCTAGAAACTTCAAATGCATGCTCAGCCTGGGATACCCTGTATATAGTTTGGTAAAAAAAATCATCAAAATAAAGCTAAAATTTAAAAAAAATCGTATCATTTTTGCAAGTATTATTTGAAACCGAAGTAGATTGTACAAAAAACAAAAAAATAGCTTATTTGTTACTAGATCTAGGGAATGTAAGTTATGAAGACTCACCAGGACTGCCGAGGAAGACGGAGGAATATAGGACGCCCCTTCGGGCGGCATCTGATGCCGCCCTTACCTCGGGCGGCGTTGACCATTCCCGCCTCGGACACCATTTACCTGAAAACAAAAGAAAAATACGTTATTTACATGATATAGATAGGTTATTTAACATTATATGTATTATAGATATGTTAACGCACAATACTCGAATTCGGGTAATGCCCGAAAAAAATGCACAGAACTAGTTTTGAGCAAAAAATATTTCCCAAACCCGAAATTGTACATTTAAACGGGTATTGCGCATTACAAAATAGCAAAAACTAGTATTGTGCAAAACTAGTTTGGCGCATTTCAAAATGACCAGTACTAGTTTTGCTCGTTTTCTTTAAACAAGACGGCAAAAAGTAGGGTTAGCAGTTTGTTTAGATTTTAAAGGATTCTTATTTTGATTTTGTTGTGGTTGGAAATACGCAATACTTGGTAAAATGAAATATAAAAATGCAAGAAAAAATGGAAGCCGAGTTCGAAATTCAAGTAAGTCGATTGATGATGGCTAAAGCACTGAAACATAACCTTATGTCGAAAAACCAATACCTAACGATATTGACTGAAGTTAAGGAGGCAAATTTTCTTAAAACTGATTTAAAACCTTTGTGTGCGAAACAATATAGAAGGATAAAGCGTTTTGATATAATAAATTTATCCATTTATAAAATATTTATGAATAAAGTTTTATTGTTTAAGTATTTTATTGGCAGTTTAATCATATTTGAATCAAACAAATTCATAAACAATCCATCCTTTGTGTTAGGGCGTTATTGATCAAATAGGACAAGCAAAACTAGTGTTGGACATTTTGAAATGCACCAAACTAGTTTTGCGCAATTCAAAATGCACAATACTAGTTTTGACTATTTTGTGATGCGCAATACCCGTTTAAATGTACAATTTCGGGTTTGGGAAATATTTTTTGTTCAAAACTAGTTCTGTGCATTTTTTTCGGGCATTACCCGAGTTCGAGTATTGTGCGTAACAGATACAATAATCTTCGTGTTATGAGATATTTCGTAAGAGATATGCCTACAGAAGAATATTGTTAAATAAAAACAGCTTTAGGTAAGTCTGCCGAAGCTTAAAAAAGTGTGAGTGGATCGGGATAATTTTTTTTAAATGGAACACCCTGTATATTATTGCATTTTTGACTTACTTTTTGATCACTTTACATAATCCTAAGATATTATTAAATATGTTGGATAGTTTCAAATATATTAATAAATAAACAAAAAAAAACACTTTTTTCAGCTTTTTAAAAAAATATATTAACCATATACAAGAAATGTCCTATGGTACAGACTTTTGTTATTATAGGAGCTATGCAGATGCTCCACGCACTATTAGCGGACCCTGTATAAGAAAAAAATCGTTTATAAATGGCAATACGTCATATATATTGTGAAGAATCAACCTACAAATATTTATAAAATAATAGTATATGGATATAAAGCAGAGTCCAAGGAAAAATTGATATTAATACATTTTTTATTTTTATAGAATAATTTGTATATTCTCCCCCTTGAAAGCAAATCAAAACGCACTCTTAGTTTCTCTATAACGCAGCGCACTACTAACTCTTAAACATCAATATACCCCATTTCAGGCGTATTTATGCAAATAATCGAGCCAGATAAACTCTATCGCCGCTACTGCCGGTCAACTAAAAGCAATATCGCCACCGTTTTACTTTAATCCCACCAGCTCTATCCCCATAGCCTCCCCCGACCCCCCATTGCATTCGGGATGCAACGGAATGGCTTTTTAATCCGCCAGGAAGACCATCTAACGGCGAAAACAGCGACGACTTAATTAATTTCTTTCTCTTTCCGGCTCGGAGAGACCTCTCCTACTTCTGTCCTTGTCTAAATCTGTTCCGCGGTATTGCCAAATGTTCATAAGGAAATTTGGAGAAAATCAGTTCAGTATCATTAAAGCTTTATTCAGAAGCTCAAAATAAGCTGAATAAATTAATGGATTCAGGTAATGTAGATGTAGCAAATGGGAAAGCAAGACTAAAACCGGAGAAACTATGCTCCCATACTATCAAGAACCTGCATAAACTGGCGCTGGACACTAGGATAGAGAGCTGGGTGCAGGTAGAGGAAGCTTTAATAGCTAGAAAACAATATAGTATTAAATGTAAATTCCCGAACTCGAGGAAGTTTTAGTGGACGTGGCAACGTCGACACCCTGCTGATGGGGGGTAATGGGGCGACGTGGATTTGCATATTCATACGACTTTCGGGACTGTCTTTACTCGATTATGTAAATAGTTTGGTGACCGGGAACACTTGGGGTAACAGACGGAGATAGAAAGATTTGTTTTTCTGGCAGGAAAAGAGTAATTTTGGTTATGATTTATATTATTTAATGGTTTTTAACATATAATTACATACTGAAAACGAATACTAAATAACCTCAGACAAATCATACCCCGTCTTTCATCCAGAGATGCAAATCAAACACAAGGGAAAATTATCCGGATTCTCCAGGAAATATCCACAAACAAAACACATCCATAACAAAGAACCTACACTTTCCGGTATATAATATTCCATTCTAAACCACCAGTCCCCCCTTCCCTTAACCCTTCATCCCCCCACCACCCCCAATCTACCTATACATACATATCCTAGGAAACGAATCATACACAGGGCAAGACCAGCACCGCTGCGGGGTGCGCTACAATCGATGACAACCAGATGACGTCCGACAGTTTAGTCGATAACGGCGGCATGGCGGGGGGTAAAGCTTCCCCTATTTTGTCCCCCAATGTCCCCGCTTCCCCCCGTACCTGTTCCGACGGGTGGCCGCTAAATGAGACATTAGAAATTTAATAAGGAATGGTAAAAGAAAAAGTATGAGTGAGTGGTGGTGGAAAAAAAATCGATAAAATGATTGTTCGTGTGGTCTTAAAGTAGGAATCTTTAAAGGGTATTGTACGGGATTTTTTGCTGTATCTGTTATAATTTTCCAAATTTCCATACCGTCTTAGAAAAAATATAAAAAAAATTGAAAATATAGTTCATTTTTTTCACAAAAATCATAACGCGTTTCTATGGTAATATCATTTTTAGGTTTTCATTCTTCGATATAGATCAATGACCAAAGAATACAAGGACCAACAACACCCGAGACCAAATTGTTACAATGCCTCCAAACAGTGCCGTGCGTAGCTAAACGATTAGATTTTTACAAATTGTAAGTTTTAGGTTCGTTGAAGGACTATTAGAACTACAATTTAAAAATATTTTTACAAGATACAGTGTGTCCCAAATAAATAAAAAACATCAAACATGTATTTTTTAATTAGAACACCCTGTATATTATTACATTTTTAGTTTCTACAATAATTAAAATAAAGGTAAATTTGGTTAAGGTTTATCACACTTAAACCTTACCGGTTTTGAAATATTTTCAATTTTGTGAAATTGCAGTAAAAATTTTAAGGTTTCATTTCTCCAAGGGTATCAAAGTTTTTAATACTAAATATTAACTGAAGTTTGTTTATTGATCAGTTATTGTATTGCATTAATAAAAATAATACTACCTCATACAGAGTGTCTAAAAATTTATTTAAAATAATTTCTAGCTTTAAACATCATTAACTTTTTTAATTTAAATAGAACACGCTGTATATTTTAGGAGAATCAGATGTACAATTTAATTGTCTATCAAATTGTATTATAACATTTTTTACATATCGACGGCGTCACGACAAAAGGGCGTAAGCGCCAAAATAGCGAAAATGAGATTATGGTTCCAAAATGTAATACTAATAAATGCGCACCTATCTATGAAACGGCTTAACCAACAAAAATTCTTAACGTGAGAAAAAAGACAGTTTTAGTTTCTAACCGCCAATACACTTTCAAACCAGACTCGACGCGAAAATCAGTAACCGCATTCACACGTGTTGGAAGGTCGCTTACGCCTGGGATGAAAAAATACCATTTTCCATTCAAAGGTACGTAGAAAAACTTATTAATAAGATAGGTCTTATTCATATTTGGTAGCCTAGATTGTTTTTTGTGCTTCAATCTTATTCAAATAGTAAACACCGACATTTATTTGTTATTGTCGGTTACGTCTTTTCGTGTTAATTTATTTGGTTTCCGTAAGCGCCATCCGCCTATGTGATCGTAATGGCATATTTTTTTGCTTTTAACAAAACTACCGTTCAGCAGATTTCAAAAAATTGTCAAATATCTAAATTGTATACAATATTAATTTTCAAAAAAACCTTTGCTACAAGCCAAAGTACTTTTTCTTGACTGTAATAATTGTTTGAAATTTGTTTTTTTTTGATGTCGCTTAAGCCTTTTTTATATTTTTTCTCCAGAGTGTAATAATGACTTCCCGCGGGAAGAAAATCACAGATTTGGCATTAAAATGTGGAAATCAAGAGGTTGAGGTTGAGAGCAATATCATAGATAATGATCTTCTGGCAGAAGCATTGCAGCATGATGCGTTGTTGGAGTCAGAATTATTTATGTTAGAAGCACCACCTTTTGCCACCAACAAGGAATACGGATCAAGTTTACCCGTGTTTTGCTCAGAATATTAGTTAAATTTAATTTTCCAGTTATTATTTCAAGCCTAATGAGTTTGAAAATATTGCAAGTATCAGTTTGAGTATTTTGTACTGTGTTTCTATTAAAAAATTTAAAAAATCCAAGCGACATTTTTAATTTTATTTGTAAAACTCAAAAGGCGTAAGTGCACCTAAACGACAAAAAATGACTAGAATAATAAGACACAAAAGTCTTAAACGCCTTTCAAAAAGACGTAAACGCCAATCGAGCCTAGAAAGAAAGGCGTAAGCGCCAAATATTAAAATAACTAATTAACAGTTTAATATTTTATAAGCAAAAAATTCTTGAAAAATGTGCCATATAATCTATAATACTGTAGCAAAAAATTATTCACAAAAAATAAAAAATATAGATTTTAGACGTTTTTTTCGTCTCCTGAAAAAAATGACGAATGGCGCTTACGCCCTTTTGTCGTGACGCCGTCGATATAATATAAATATAAATTTTACATATATTCTAAATAAATGT